GGGATCAAAGCTGCCGGGTGGGGGGGGGGGGCGCAGTGACTGCCTCTCTGGAGAGAGTCCACAATGGGATGCAGCCCCACTGGGCAGCATGCAGCAGAGGGGACCCTGCGACTCACCCTAGCTGTGAGAACAGAGCAGAGATGCCAAGGGGTGGGCAAAAAGAGGACCCATAGACTGCCCCCTCCCTCCACCACCAGCAGGAAATGTGCCCACCTTTGTCTTTCTCGCTGTCCCCATAGAACTTGCCAGCCGTCAGCTTGAACTTCCCATAGTCAGATTTGTGCTTTGACTCCACCCAGCGGCTCGTCCAGGTATCTGGGGAGGGGAGATACAAGGTTTGGAGTTGAAACGGTGGGGGAAGGGGGCAGCAAAGGGGGCCTCCCCACATCTCCGGACACAAGTAGGTTTGTGGTTAAACTGCCAGGTTAAGCTGCTAGGTTAAGCTGCTTCCCACTGCAGATGACAAGAATGATGAGAGGAACAGGATACATACCCACCAGGTAAACTGAGGCAGAGGGAAGCTGTGACCTAGGATGGTTACAGTGCCATAGAACTCAGCAGTTCAGAGGCCAATGCCTTGCCCCAGCCACTGGACCCTGCTCCCAACCCTCACAATTGAGTCACTGCCTTTATCTCAGCAGCGCTTGATGGAGGTCCATGGGGATGGAGTCCCCTGCTACACAAATGCACACACCTCTGTGGCAATGGACACATAGCAGGCACACACTGCCACCAAGTCCAGTCCCTTCTCCACACTGAGGGGAGACCATGTCTAAGCACATCTCCAGAAGGAGACATTTCAGCTGGAGGCCTGGGTCCCATTCTGTAGGTACAAAGTCTGCCATGGTACAGCACCCAGGCCTGCTATACAACCCACCTGGACCCAGGCCCTGCTCCCTCCCACCCAGGGCATGATGGGACAGTCAGGAGCTGCTGTGGCCTACCCAGGACTACAGCTAGTAGCAGCCCAGCCCAAAACACCGCGCTTAAATCTTTGCTTCCCCTTCAGCCTCTT